AAAAAAAAAAAAAAAGAAGAAAAAGAAAAGAGTATGTGAGGCTGAGAAGGTGGCTCAGTGGTAGAGTGCTTGCCTTGCATGCATGATGCCCTGGGTTCGATTCCTCAGCACCACATAAGAAAAAAGCCGCAAGTGGCGCTGTGGCTCAAGTGGTAGAACACTAGCCTTGAGCTGAAGAACTGAGGGACAGCGCCCAGGCCCAGAGTTCAGGCCCCACCACCAGACCAAAAAAAAAAAAAAGAGTATGTGACATGAGTTGCCAGCAGTGGGGAGAGCATCCCAGGCAGAGGTGAGAGTACATGCTACCCCTACACTGAGAGCAAGATTTTGCACAGCTACATGGCTAGAACTTTGTGTGTGAACAAAAGGAAAACAGCCTGTTTGTAAGTCAGAGTAAGCAGTTCATATTCTATTTTATGAGAAGTTACTGAAGGATTCTTAATCCAGTTGTGTGTGTGTGTGTGTGTGTATGATTATATAAAGACATGGAGAAAGCCCATGCGGAAATGTAGGCAAGTATCAGAGGTCAGAGGGAGAAAAGGGGAAAAAAAGATGGGCTCAAATGTTTTTTGTTTTTGTTTTTGGCCAGTTCTGGGGCTTGAACTCAGGGCCTGGGTGCTGTCCCTGAGCTTCTCTGGCCTCCTGGCCTGAAGGTTAGCATTCTACCAGTTGAGCCACAGCACCACTTCCAGCTTTTTTGAGTAGTTTACTGGAGATAAGAGTCTCATGGAGACTTTTCTGCCCAAGCTGGCTTCAAATTGCTCTCCTCAGATCTCAGCCTCCTGAGTAGCTAAGATTATAGGCATGAGCCACCAGTACTGGCAAGAGCTCAAATGTTTTGGGGTGAAACTGACATGACTTGCTGATAGTTTGGGCAGGTATGGTGAGAAAGAAATCTACAACTAGATCTGAAGCAAAACCGGTAATCGAACCATCATTCAGAAATCTCTTGCTACTTGGCCATTTCCACACTCAATCAGGCATCACTACTTGATGGCACCAGGTAGGACCAAGAGCCCCACTCCTCCCCTCCTTGCAGGCCTTTTCAGCTGGCTCAGCCCTCTCTCTCTTTTTGTTGTTTGTCAGTCCTGGGGCTTAAACTTAGGGCCTGGGCACTGTCCCTAAGCTTCTTTTGCTCAGGATTAGCATCCTACCACTTGAGTCACAGTGCCACTTCTGGCTCTTTCTGTTTGTGTGGTGCTGAGGAATCGAACCCAGGCCGTCATGCATGCTAGGCAAGCACTCTGCCACTGAGCCACCTTCCCAGCCCCATCAGCCCCCTCTCTTTAGGGTCTCAGTGTACTTCCCCTCGACTGCCCTGAACCACTTGCTTTTTTTTTATCACCTTCCTGGTCTTCCTGGGGCCTCCTGCTTTGGTGAAACTCCAACCCCACATCAGTGCATAAATTCATTTATCTCCCATACTCCTCCATCCTGGGTTCAAAGCAGAAATGCTGGGAAAACAGTAGTTCCCTAGGTCCTCGCCCTGCAGCTCAGCTCCACCAATTCCTTCCAGCCCTGCCAGTGTCCCTATCAATTGGGCCAGCCTTCATCTATCCCCCTGAAGCTCAAAAGTAAGTCTTTCAAATCTGGTCCTGCCCCTCCCTGCTCTAAGCCCTTCTAAGACTTCCTACTCCCCCAGACCCCCAGGCACAAAAGCTAAAAATCTCCACCCAGAAGGTGCTCAAGACCTCAGACACACAGCATTGCCCCCCTATTGTCTCTCCCAGCCTTAAGAGTCTCAATATATGCCATGCATGTTTACATCCTAGACTTATTAAAAATACATCTTCACAGGGAGAGAGCAAGGGAAAGGGTGATGTTGTCCAAAAAGAAATGTACTCATTACCTCATTTACATAACTATAACCCCTCTGTACCTGATTCTGGTTGATTACTCTGTATATCTCCTTTATAATAACAATAAAAATTTAAAAAATAAAGTCAAATAAAATGAATTAAAAAAAAAAACACCTTCATCCACACTGGCTTCCTCCATTAGTTCTGTTATTTGTTTGTTTTTTGCCAGTCCTGGAGCTAGAACTCAGGGCCTGGGAACTGTCCTTGAGCCTCTCTGTGCTCAAGGCTAGCACTCTACCACTTGAGCCACAGTGCTACTTCCAGCTTTTTCTGTGTATGTGGTATTGAAGAATAGAACCCAGGGCTTCATGCATGCTAGGCAAGCACTCTACCACTGAACCACATACCTAGCCTGTAGCTTTGGTAAATGCACCACTGTGCCCAAGGTGGGTATAGGACAACTATTTGGTGAATGAGTAATTCTTTTCAGACTCCCCTCCACTAGCAAGTTTCCCCATCACTCCACTCCCTCTTCAGCTCTGGCAGCACTGCCCTCAACACCTGGAGCTGCTTGTCCCCTTATTTATAATGAGCTTTGTGTGAGACAGCGGGGCAAGGAATGGGCATGACCAAACCTGTTCCCACGCTCAGGTTTGATGCGAGTCACAGATAAGTGTTAGGACATCCAAGAAGGCCTCGTCTGATTGCACATACCCTATAAGCTCTTCTTCCAGCCAACACCAGACATTCCCTAAAATTGGGACTCCTTCCTCCCATGGCAAAGGGGTTTGGTACATCTTTCTACTACTTGCCCCAAACTGCTCCTTTGTGTGATACCCTGGAGCTGTATCCAGCGCCTACTGTCTCATCCTCTCTGCTCCCACAAGGGCAATAAGACACACAAGTGAGATCTTTGAGGACACAGAGGGGAATGCATTTTACTCAATGGCAATATGAACCCTGACTTTAAATTCTGGTCACCTCTAGGAAATCAGGCCAGGGTTGAGAGATACGTGGGAACAGGTAGAAGAAGGAGCAGGGATTAGGAGTTCTTGGAGTCACCTTTATGAGTCAGAGGTCAGAGGCCAAAGGCCTTGGATTACCTTCACAGATCAGTGGCCTCTGAAGTCAGGAGTCAAAGATGCTCCTAGAACATCTCTAGGGGTTCAGGAATGGAGGGCAGGTGGGATCAAGAATCAGGGAAGTCACCTCTAATGATAAAGAATTAGGGATGTCTGGGGTAGGGGTGCCAGGGAAGTCACCTCTGAGGGTTGGGCTCATTATGCTTGTCCCGGTCATGCTTGATCATGCGGTAGCGGCCTATTCGGATGTCTGGGCGGGAGATCTTCATCCCCGTCAGGGAGATCCTGAAGATGGAACAGACAGCCTGGAGCAGGCACCAAGAAAAGCCCACGCAATCTGTGCCTTACCCGCTGGCCCACTCAGTCTGCTCTTGACCCAGACCCCTACTCACCGGTTGAAGATGTCATCATCCTCGCCACCCCAGCCCCAGTACTCGTTGGGAAATCCATTGATCCTCAGAAACTGAGTCTTACTCAGGCCTGACACACCTCCAAAGTAGCCAGCATAGGGCAGCCTATAGGATGGGAAGGCAGGTTGTCAGGACCACAAGGGGATTCAAGTTGAAGGACCAGGGATAAGGTGTGGGGGAGATATTCAAGCAGAGGCTTAATGGGGAGCTGGCTTAGCCAGAGGGATCTGGGCTGGGGTCTAGCAGGGTACCAGGACTGAGTGAGGGTCTAGGTGAAGTGGGGGTATGGAGGTTTGGGCCTTGCTAAGAAAAACACCTCACCGGAAGCCGAACTTATCCATGGCGATGGCAAAGTGGCGGGGTTGGTCACCACAACGATATAAATTGCGGTCATCCATGGGGACCAAGTCCACGTCACTGAAGATGAAGCAGTCATAGGCAGCGTCCTCCTTCAGTGCTTCTAGGAAGCCCACATTGAGCAGCTTGGCCCGGTTGAAGGTGTCCTCACCATGCTAGGGAGAAGGGTTGAGGGGAACAGGACAGATCAGCTGTGGATCTGTGGCCTTCAAGTGCCTGCCACTTCATTTTCCAGAGAAGTCCCCCGGGGAACCACCCAGTCTTTCCTTCTCTGCATGGCACCCTGGGAAACTTTCACAAAGAACTTTCAAAATTTAGTTCCAGTATCCTTTCTGACCCATTCAGACCCAACCTCAATAAGTACAGAACATACAACACTCTAGATTCTTTTTTGTCTCCAGGCTTTGGAAATAACAGATCCCGCTAGATCAATCTATCCTTTTTTTTTTTTTTGTCAGTCGTGGGGCCTGAACTCTGGGCCTGGGCACTGTCCCTCAGCTCTTCAGCTCAAGACTAGCGCTCTACAACTTGAGCCACAGTGCCACTTCTGGCTTTTTCTGCTTGTGTGATGATGAGGAATTGAACTCAGGGCCTCATGCATGCAAGGCAAGTGTTCTACCATTGAGCCACTTTCCCAGCCCCCCCCCCCCAGGTCCTAAGTTCAAGGCCCACAACCAAAAAACAAAAGCAAAAAAAAAAAATCCAAGGACTCTGGCATCTCCTGGTTACCTCCTGACAGCAGCCCACTACTATCTCTACAGCAGCAGCTCTGCCCTCCGCTCAGCCCTGCATAGGGAGGGTCTGCCTCCCCCAATCCCATGCTGTCCCCCTTTCCTCTCGTTAGTCCCAGGCCCTCAAGAGCCATCTACTGTCTTTTGTCCTGTCTGCCACCTATACACATTCAGATGCTCCTGGTCCTCACCTCAAGTGTCCAGCAACTTGGTCAATGCCGGACACGTTCAGTTGGTCCTTGATGACACTGAGGGTCCTTTGACTGCTGCTGACAGATAAAAGTCACCATCACCCTCCCCATATTTCACACAAATGCCACACCCAGGTTAATTTTGTATCTTTTCTCACAAAGTCAACCTAGGTGACAGTAGGAGTTCTAGAACCTGGGCTTGCACATGGACACTCTTACTTCTGACATATTGCCTCTTCTTTCTGAGCCTTACTTCCTCATCTGTAAAATGGGGATGTTGTCTACCTTACAGAGCTGTGTGAGAATTCACATAAGAAACTGCTACCATCCACTTCTTCCAAAGTGGTCCCAATCCTTGATCACATTCAGCCCTCAGCTAGAAACACCGTGTGCTCCTTCTCAGTGCTTTCTGCCTAACTCTCACTCCTGTTCCCTAGTCCTGAGAACAACTTTCCCTTGCACATGGCCTCCTGTCCTCTCTTCTGGAAAAGCTCTTCTATCTGCCTCATTCTCCCAGGTACAGATCAACCCAGTCACTCTCCAGCAAGCCTTGCCTGCCTTCAGGCTGAGCAGGTGTCTCCTCAAGACTTCTGTGGAGCAGGGTGCTGGTGGCTCATGCCTAGTAATCTAGATACTCAAGAGGCTAAGATCTGAGGATCATGTTTCAAAGCGAGCCCAGGCATGAAAGTCCTTGAAGACACGGGAAAGTGATGCTGTGGCTCAAAGTGGTAGAGCACTAGCCTTGAGCAAAAAAGCTCAGGGACAGTGCCCAGGCCCCAAGTTCAAACCCCACAACCGACAAAAAAAAAAGACCCCCAAGAAAGGACTTCTGTGACCCTCATGTACAGACCCCTATCACAAGCAGCTATTAACGAGCCCCGCCCCAGCCTGGCAGCTACCACCATTTTCACTGGGACCTTCTGGCAAGCCCTCTTCCTCTGCCATCACTTTACCTGGGCTCCACCGCTCTCCCTTGAAATTGCTCCTGTTCTGGAAGGTCACACGTGGGCTCCTCCAAGGCAAAGCGAAGGACTTTGGGGCTATATTGGGCCCAGGCTTGGGCCTGGTCCCTACAAAGAGGTACACACGGAGGGAGCTAAGGGGTCCTGTCAGGAAACCATAGGAAAGGCCACCCTGGCTCTTGTCAGGGGTGGGGCTAGCCCACGTGATGTCCGAGGGAGGGGCCCAAGCCTGCCATGCCCACCTGCCCTCGCTGATAGCCTTGTGGCGGAGACTCTGGAGCAGCTGTCGCAGTTCCTGGCGCACAAGGTCCCTCAGGAGAGGCGGTGGTGCCAGAAGGGAGGAAGGGTCAGAGATGGGGTGGGAGCCAGGGGCTCGGGAGGATCGGGCCTCTTGGAGCAGTGCTTGTAGCATCGCCACCTGCAAGGAGAGCTGGGACACCTTGCGACTGGGCAGGGAAGAGGTGAGAGGGCGGGGTGGGGCAGAGTCGAGCAGGAGAGGACAGGGGCGCGCTGGCAGGTCCCCCGGCAGGGCCGGGACGCCGAGGAGGTGGGGGAAGCTCCCAACGCGTGGGGCCGGCCCGGGGCGTGGCCCACCTCCCCGCTCCCCACCTCCGCTCGCAGCTCCAGGTTCAGGTCCACCACCGCCTCCCCCAGAATCCTCTTCACTTCGGGTCGCTCCGGGAGCGGAACGTGCTCCTCCACCAGCTCCCACAGCGACGGGGAGTCCCAGGCCCGCTCGGCCGCTCTCCCCCACTCCGACCACCGGTCGCCCGAGCTGGAGTCACGCCCCCCGGCCCCGCCCCCCTGGACATCACAGGTCCCGCCTTGTTCTGTCACGGTCCTCGGCGCTCTCTCTTCCGTCCTGCTTCTGGAAGGTCCCAGGGCCATCCGCAGTGCTGGCCACGGCCACCCGGTGGGAACCAGGTCCTGGCCCCGCCCCCTCGACACAGCCGTCTCTCGGGGAACCGCGCACGCCATAGGCCCCGCCCCCGGGAGGTCCCGCCCCCACGGCCGCGCGGGTGGAACCCTGGGAACCCCTGCCGTCGGCCTAATTAGTTTGGGTGCACGGCAGGTGTGAAAGGGCTAGGGCGCGGGCGCTCCACCCCCGGGGCCGTCCACAGTGCCTTGGGCTCTTTCCACCTCTAGGCAGGTGGAAGACAGAAATCTGGTCTCTTGAGTTCATTACTTCACTGGCCTTAGGCAACAGCAAGTTAAGTTTGCAAGTCCAGTGAGCTCAGCACGAAGGGGGGGGGGTGCGGGGGGGGCAGTGTCCACGTCCCTGTGTGCTGCAGCTGACTGAAGTCCCAGGACCCGTGTCTCCCTCCCCAGCAGACACAGAGGACGTTCCATTCACGTTTTTTACTAAAGCACCCACACAAGTTTCTGTGCAATGTACAAACATGAGCCGGCCTCTGGGGCTTCTGCCTCCTCTCTGAGACAGGGAGGCGGGAACTATAGACTAATCCAGTCCCCTTACCCCCCCATGCAAAAGCCAACCCCAAGGTCCCAGGCAGCAACACAGCACCCCCTCTGGTCCCCTCCTGGGGCTGCTCCTCAGCAGGGGGCACACCAAAGACTGCCCCCTACAATGTTGAATGAAAAAGGTTTCCCCTCCCCTGGGAGCATGGGGGAGTCTCATGTCTGAGAATTCCCCCTGGAAGAGACACTGCCCCCTAGTCATACCTCCCATCCTTCCAGGCCCTAGGGGACTCAAGGGGGAGGAGGGAAACTTGAGGCACAGAGAGGTGGAGTGACCTAGCCCAGGCCACTCCGCGAGGCAGTGCAGGGGCTGGCCCGACCCTGACAGTGAGGAAGGCTGGGCTGGGGGAAGTGGGGCAGAAAGAAGGGTTGACCCCAGAGAGGGCCACACTTGAGGGGCCTGCCCAGGCCAGAAGCCCCTCAAAGTGGGTTCTGGAACTTCTAGGTCCAACTGGCGGTCTCTGTAAGACCCTCAAACATAACCCACAGTCTCAGTCCTGGGGGTCGCCCATAGAACAGATGCCCGAGCCAGGCTGTAGGTCAGTCCTCTGGCAAGCAATCCTTGGCACCAAGAACTTTTGTCTATTAATGTCAGCCCCGAGGGGGCCATGATGGGGGTCGACCAATGTCCACTGTGATGTTGGTGAAGAGAGGTTGCCGAGACACCTCCAAGACCCGGTATCGCACTGACCCAATGCCATCCCGTTTCATGGTCAGCTTTGTGTTTTGAATCTTGGTAAACCTAGAAAAGAATGGAAATGGGTGCAGATCAGTGCTAATTGCCAGGCTCAATATGGGATCTCTAGGGACTAAAGCTCAAACCACCTCACTCCTGCCAGGGGTAACTCAGAAATCCTCTGTTCTTGCATCTGCCCTCAAAAATGAGATCTCACCCCCTTCGTTCATCTTCGCATGGGGGTGGAGGGAAGTCTGGGTTAGCCAATGATTCCTCCATTCCTGTCCCAGAAGTACCTGTGAGAAAGTCTCACAAGTGTCAGCTCAGACCTCTATTCTAAGCTGTAGACCCTGACACGAGGCCTCCCATAGGCGTCTCAAATGCAGTGTGTCCAATGTCAGATGTGTCACCTTTACTCTGCAAACCTGTGCTGTCTTCTGTTCCTCATCCTTTAGTCACTTCTTCCTCATCCACTTAGTGAACAGTCTGTCCCTATATGCTAGGTTATGCACTGAGCATCAGAGATACAGCCATGAACAGGACAGGTAAGGTCATTCCTCTCCTGGCAAGTTTGTCACTAAGAGACAGGTAACAGTCAAGGGAATAACCAGCGGGCTAGGATGATGAGGTGCAGCCTTGAAAAGAGTATGTGAGCCGGGTGCTGGTGGCTCACGCCTGTAATCCTAGCTACTCAGGAGGCTGAGAGCTGAGGATCGAGGTTCAAAGCCAGCCCGGGCAGGAAAGACTGTGAGACTCCTATCTCCAATAAACCACCAGAAAACCGGAAGTAGCGCTGCAGCTCAAGTGGTAGAGCGCTCGCCTTGAGATGAAGAGCTGAGGGACAGCGCCCAGGCCCAGAGTTCAAGCCCCATGACCGACCAAAAAAAAAAAAAAAAAAAAAGAAGAAAAAGAAAAGAGTATGTGAGGCTGAGAAGGTGGCTCAGTGGTAGAGTGCTTGCCTTGCATGCATGATGCCCTGGGTTCGATTCCTCAGCACCACATAAGAAAAAAGCCGCAAGTGGCGCTGTGGCTCAAGTGGTAGAACACTAGCCTTGAGCTGAAGAACTGAGGGACAGCGCCCAGGCCCAGAGTTCAGGCCCCACCACCAGACCAAAAAAAAAAAAAAGAGTATGTGACATGAGTTGCCAGCAGTGGGGAGAGCATCCCAGGCAGAGGTGAGAGTACATGCTACCCCTACACTGAGAGCAAGATTTTGCACAGCTACATGGCTAGAACTTTGTGTGTGAACAAAAGGAAAACAGCCTGTTTGTAAGTCAGAGTAAGCAGTTCATATTCTATTTTATGAGAAGTTACTGAAGGATTCTTAATCCAGTTGTGTGTGTGTGTGTGTGTGTATGATTATATAAAGACATGGAGAAAGCCCATGCGGAAATGTAGGCAAGTATCAGAGGTCAGAGGGAGAAAAGGGGAAAAAAAGATGGGCTCAAATGTTTTTTGTTTTTGTTTTTGGCCAGTTCTGGGGCTTGAACTCAGGGCCTGGGTGCTGTCCCTGAGCTTCTCTGGCCTCCTGGCCTGAAGGTTAGCATTCTACCAGTTGAGCCACAGCACCACTTCCAGCTTTTTTGAGTAGTTTACTGGAGATAAGAGTCTCATGGAGACTTTTCTGCCCAAGCTGGCTTCAAATTGCTCTCCTCAGATCTCAGCCTCCTGAGTAGCTAAGATTATAGGCATGAGCCACCAGTACTGGCAAGAGCTCAAATGTTTTGGGGTGAAACTGACATGACTTGCTGATAGTTTGGGCAGGTATGGTGAGAAAGAAATCTACAACTAGATCTGAAGCAAAACCGGTAATCGAACCATCATTCAGAAATCTCTTGCTACTTGGCCATTTCCACACTCAATCAGGCATCACTACTTGATGGCACCAGGTAGGACCAAGAGCCCCACTCCTCCCCTCCTTGCAGGCCTTTTCAGCTGGCTCAGCCCTCTCTCTCTTTTTGTTGTTTGTCAGTCCTGGGGCTTAAACTTAGGGCCTGGGCACTGTCCCTAAGCTTCTTTTGCTCAGGATTAGCATCCTACCACTTGAGTCACAGTGCCACTTCTGGCTCTTTCTGTTTGTGTGGTGCTGAGGAATCGAACCCAGGCCGTCATGCATGCTAGGCAAGCACTCTGCCACTGAGCCACCTTCCCAGCCCCATCAGCCCCCTCTCTTTAGGGTCTCAGTGTACTTCCCCTCGACTGCCCTGAACCACTTGCTTTTTTTTTATCACCTTCCTGGTCTTCCTGGGGCCTCCTGCTTTGGTGAAACTCCAACCCCACATCAGTGCATAAATTCATTTATCTCCCATACTCCTCCATCCTGGGTTCAAAGCAGAAATGCTGGGAAAACAGTAGTTCCCTAGGTCCTCGCCCTGCAGCTCAGCTCCACCAATTCCTTCCAGCCCTGCCAGTGTCCCTATCAATTGGGCCAGCCTTCATCTATCCCCCTGAAGCTCAAAAGTAAGTCTTTCAAATCTGGTCCTGCCCCTCCCTGCTCTAAGCCCTTCTAAGACTTCCTACTCCCCCAGACCCCCAGGCACAAAAGCTAAAAATCTCCACCCAGAAGGTGCTCAAGACCTCAGACACACAGCATTGCCCCCCTATTGTCTCTCCCAGCCTTAAGAGTCTCAATATATGCCATGCATGTTTACATCCTAGACTTATTAAAAATACATCTTCACAGGGAGAGAGCAAGGGAAAGGGTGATGTTGTCCAAAAAGAAATGTACTCATTACCTCATTTACATAACTATAACCCCTCTGTACCTGATTCTGGTTGATTACTCTGTATATCTCCTTTATAATAACAATAAAAATTTAAAAAATAAAGTCAAATAAAATGAATTAAAAAAAAAAACACCTTCATCCACACTGGCTTCCTCCATTAGTTCTGTTATTTGTTTGTTTTTTGCCAGTCCTGGAGCTAGAACTCAGGGCCTGGGAACTGTCCTTGAGCCTCTCTGTGCTCAAGGCTAGCACTCTACCACTTGAGCCACAGTGCTACTTCCAGCTTTTTCTGTGTATGTGGTATTGAAGAATAGAACCCAGGGCTTCATGCATGCTAGGCAAGCACTCTACCACTGAACCACATACCTAGCCTGTAGCTTTGGTAAATGCACCACTGTGCCCAAGGTGGGTATAGGACAACTATTTGGTGAATGAGTAATTCTTTTCAGACTCCCCTCCACTAGCAAGTTTCCCCATCACTCCACTCCCTCTTCAGCTCTGGCAGCACTGCCCTCAACACCTGGAGCTGCTTGTCCCCTTATTTATAATGAGCTTTGTGTGAGACAGCGGGGCAAGGAATGGGCATGACCAAACCTGTTCCCACGCTCAGGTTTGATGCGAGTCACAGATAAGTGTTAGGACATCCAAGAAGGCCTCGTCTGATTGCACATACCCTATAAGCTCTTCTTCCAGCCAACACCAGACATTCCCTAAAATTGGGACTCCTTCCTCCCATGGCAAAGGGGTTTGGTACATCTTTCTACTACTTGCCCCAAACTGCTCCTTTGTGTGATACCCTGGAGCTGTATCCAGCGCCTACTGTCTCATCCTCTCTGCTCCCACAAGGGCAATAAGACACACAAGTGAGATCTTTGAGGACACAGAGGGGAATGCATTTTACTCAATGGCAATATGAACCCTGACTTTAAATTCTGGTCACCTCTAGGAAATCAGGCCAGGGTTGAGAGATACGTGGGAACAGGTAGAAGAAGGAGCAGGGATTAGGAGTTCTTGGAGTCACCTTTATGAGTCAGAGGTCAGAGGCCAAAGGCCTTGGATTACCTTCACAGATCAGTGGCCTCTGAAGTCAGGAGTCAAAGATGCTCCTAGAACATCTCTAGGGGTTCAGGAATGGAGGGCAGGTGGGATCAAGAATCAGGGAAGTCACCTCTAATGATAAAGAATTAGGGATGTCTGGGGTAGGGGTGCCAGGGAAGTCACCTCTGAGGGTTGGGCTCATTATGCTTGTCCCGGTCATGCTTGATCATGCGGTAGCGGCCTATTCGGATGTCTGGGCGGGAGATCTTCATCCCCGTCAGGGAGATCCTGAAGATGGAACAGACAGCCTGGAGCAGGCACCAAGAAAAGCCCACGCAATCTGTGCCTTACCCGCTGGCCCACTCAGTCTGCTCTTGACCCAGACCCCTACTCACCGGTTGAAGATGTCATCATCCTCGCCACCCCAGCCCCAGTACTCGTTGGGAAATCCATTGATCCTCAGAAACTGAGTCTTACTCAGGCCTGACACACCTCCAAAGTAGCCAGCATAGGGCAGCCTATAGGATGGGAAGGCAGGTTGTCAGGACCACAAGGGGATTCAAGTTGAAGGACCAGGGATAAGGTGTGGGGGAGATATTCAAGCAGAGGCTTAATGGGGAGCTGGCTTAGCCAGAGGGATCTGGGCTGGGGTCTAGCAGGGTACCAGGACTGAGTGAGGGTCTAGGTGAAGTGGGGGTATGGAGGTTTGGGCCTTGCTAAGAAAAACACCTCACCGGAAGCCGAACTTATCCATGGCGATGGCAAAGTGGCGGGGTTGGTCACCACAACGATATAAATTGCGGTCATCCATGGGGACCAAGTCCACGTCACTGAAGATGAAGCAGTCATAGGCAGCGTCCTCCTTCAGTGCTTCTAGGAAGCCCACATTGAGCAGCTTGGCCCGGTTGAAGGTGTCCTCACCATGCTAGGGAGAAGGGTTGAGGGGAACAGGACAGATCAGCTGTGGATCTGTGGCCTTCAAGTGCCTGCCACTTCATTTTCCAGAGAAGTCCCCCGGGGAACCACCCAGTCTTTCCTTCTCTGCATGGCACCCTGGGAAACTTTCACAAAGAACTTTCAAAATTTAGTTCCAGTATCCTTTCTGACCCATTCAGACCCAACCTCAATAAGTACAGAACATACAACACTCTAGATTCTTTTTTGTCTCCAGGCTTTGGAAATAACAGATCCCGCTAGATCAATCTATCCTTTTTTTTTTTTTTGTCAGTCGTGGGGCCTGAACTCTGGGCCTGGGCACTGTCCCTCAGCTCTTCAGCTCAAGACTAGCGCTCTACAACTTGAGCCACAGTGCCACTTCTGGCTTTTTCTGCTTGTGTGATGATGAGGAATTGAACTCAGGGCCTCATGCATGCAAGGCAAGCATTCTACTACTGAGCCACCTTCCCAGCCCTCTCCTCTGCTTATTATACTCATATCTGGAAAGATACTCTGGACTAAACCTCATAACCCAATATAATTCGTCCCTCTCTCTTCTGGTCCTCTTTTATACACCAGTGTCCACGAAAAAGATATTTAGAGCTCTCATTCATTCACTCTTTCAAATATGCCCTTGTGGCCTTCTCCTTTGTGCCAGCAGGGATTCTAGAGACACGCAGCCCTAGTCTTGATCCCTGCTGAGCATACAGTCACGAAGTGAGGAATGCCCCAAATGACCAGTGTCTGAGATGCAAGCCACGAGAACTGACCCACAAGCTCGGGTACCTCCTAAGCAGCCTCTGAAACAAGGATTGGACTGAGCTAGATTCACCTGTCTCTCCAACTAAGTGACAAACAGAGAGCTATAGGTAGTCACATCTCAGTAAAAGGAAGAACCCTAAAAAATGGGGCTACAGGATAAATCACCAAATTCTGGACAGAGGAAGACAGATTAGATCAGAGTAAGTACTCTTTTTGGGAGAGGAGGAGAAGAGCTTGAACTTAGGGTCTATGCACTGTCCCTAAGCTTTTTCTTTTTTTTTGGGGGGGGTGTCTGGTCATGGGGCCTGAACTCTGGGCCTGGGCGCTGTCCCTCAGCTCTTCAGCTCAAGGCTAGCACTCTACCACTTGAGACACAGCGCCACTTCTGGCTTTTTTCTTTTTACTTATGTGGTGCTGAGGAATCGAACCCAGGGCCTCACGCATGCAAGGCAAGCGCTCTACCACTGAGCCACCTTCCCAGCCCTGCCTGAGCTTTTTCTAAGTCTAGTGCTCTTCCACTTTGAACCACAGCTCCATTTCTGTTTTCTGGTGGTTAATTGGAGATAAGAGTCTCATGGACTTTCCTACCCAGGCTGGCTTCAAACCCAGATCCTCAGCTCTCAGCCTCCTGAGTAGCTAAGATTACAGGTGTGAGCCACTGGTGCCTGGCTAAGAAGTACTCTTGACCCCTGCTTTCACTATATTTCATGTCGGTATAATTTGTGGAGGGGAAGGGGAAAAACAAAACAAATCGTTTAAATAGGGATACAGGTGGACCCATTGCAACAATGAGATGTACAAGTCTTTATGTCGAAAACGAACTTTACAACTTTGGTGAGGGGGGGGCAGGATTGGGGGGGTGGGGGGGAGTATGGGAAGGGATGGTAAGGGGAAACAAAGGAGGAGGCTACAATCCTTGATAAGAAATGTACTCATTATCTTGCCCATGTAATTGTAACCCCTCTGTACAGTATTTTCGCAATAAAATAAAGCAAAATAAAATAAAATTCAAAAAAAAAAGAAGTACTCTTGACACCTTACCACATCTAGGCTAAGGCTAGAAACTGCTGGGGAGGGGAGTCTGTGAGTGGGCCCCTCTATAAAGAGAGAAGAAATAGAGGACCCTCCTCTACTGCAGCCCAGCTTGAGTCTGATGGGTAGAAAGTTGCCTTCCCCTCCTACTACTGAACTTCTCTTCCACTAGCCTGTGGAGGTTTTTGTCCATGTCCCCCTGGCTCATCGCATTCCTTCTGTTCTATCTTACCAGCAAGAGGCCTTAGGTTTCCCCCACATGGCTCACAAACATGCTCAATTCTCTCCCTGGAGAGAGAGAGAGTGAGAGAAAAAGCAAACCTTCTTCCTGCCATCACACTATACCTTTTGCCTTTCTTTCACAGCAGAGAGTTTTGTGTTTTATTTTTTTAAGGAGTTGTCTCCAATCAGTTATTTTGTCAAATCCAATTCCTTCCTCAACCCACTGCAATCTGCTTCCGCCCCCACCATGCCCCTGAAATGGCTCTTGCTGGGCCCACCTTGTTGCTAAATCCACTGGACGCTTCTTGGTCCACATGCCTCCTCACTCCCCCACAGTGCTCACGCAGCTGCTGCGTTTCCTTCCTGACACCTGCTGGGCTTCTGGGACACCCGCTCTCCTGGGTCCCTTGTCACCCTCTAGCCCATGTTCTAGGCATCTGTAGCAGCCTCCTTCTCTCCACCCATCCTTTCAGGGCTGGCTTTCTCCTTTTACATCCAGGCACTGTGAGCATGTTGATGGTGGTTTGAAAAAACCTCTACAAACTGGATTTCTGGATCCCTTTCCTACCTAGGTCCAGACTTACTATCTGACTGCCTGTATTCCCTCCTGCACCTTCCCCAGGCTCTCAAACTCCTAGCAGGTGAGAGAGGTTCAGAATCACAATCTTCCCTAGTCATGGCTCAGCTCCTGTGCGCCCCATGTAATCCACAGGTGTGGTCATCCACACAGCCAACAGCCAAGACCGAAATCCTCGCCTTGTCTTGACATCTCTCTTTTGTCACAAGGACTGTCCTAGACCCACATTGACCATCTCTTTCCTGGCCACTGTAACTTCTTCTGCCTCTTGCTTCCCCCTCTCTACCATTCAAATGTCTTTCTAAAAAGGCAAACACAGGACTTACTCCCCACTTAACACAATGGTGCCCCATTATCTCCAGGCTGGAGTTCAACTGACCCTTCTTTATTTGGCTTCCATCAATCCCTCCAGTAATCTCTGCTACTCAGCTATACCTCAGCTAGTAGTTCCTAAACACAGGAGACCAGTTTTCTTACTGATCCTGGCCCACCAGGTCCCTTTCCTTAGAATGCTTGCCTCCGCCAGCTGCTGCCTATTCATCCCTCAAGATTCATCCCAACAATTGCTTCCCAGCATCAGGGCTGGCCCAGGCCCTCTGTGCTGCCAGAGCTCCCGCTCCAACTCCAATCACACAGCATCCTCATGGAGTCAACAGGGATCCACATTCAAGTCCAGGAGAGAGCCTACACCAGATCTGCTCTGAGACACTGTCAGCCTTGCAAGAACTTACATGCTACTTTCAGCCCTCTGGCCACAGCTGTGGCCAAACACATGCACCTAGAGGCCCTAGGCTTCGTCCTTCTCTGAGACGACCTTTCCCTCTCCTTGGAGCTCTCAATACCTCCTCCTATCTAGTCAGTGTACCCTAGGCATCTCCTACCATGGAGTGGGGCCTGCTAAGGGCAGACAGTAGGGATCAGCTCCTTTGGTGGTTATGCACTTGCTAGTGTACAAGCGAGCATTCATGTGCACACATGAATCTTTTGCACATATGAATCTTCCTGTGCACACTGACACATGTGTACACTGGCACACAGGTAACCCCTCCATGCCCATGCACTCACATACTGACAACCGTGGCAAACAAGGACCCACAGATGCCTACCAACCCCTGTATATACAACTAGGCATATGGGCCCCTGCATTCCTGAGCAGGCATTCCCGCAGGTGTGTATGGCCTCCGTGATGGCTCAGTGCCCAGTCAGGTGCCACAGACCACGCACCTGGTTGATGACATAGATTCCGTAGCGCAGCCGCTGCCGCCTCAAGATGGGGTGTAGATAATGGAGCCAGTAGCGTAGGTGATGCTCCCGGTGTCTAAAGGGGATGATGACGGCCACTGTCTGCGCGGGGGTGCAGTCAGGTGGAGTATAGCGGCCGCCCAGGAGCACACCTGGGTTTTCCCTCTGCACCCGCTCCAGGGGCATGGGTGAAGTGAACTCGATCAGCAGTCGGCCCACTGCAGGCAGGACAGTGTTAGGAATCAGGGCCTTCGCCAGAATCCAGGGACACTGGCCTCCTGGGAATGGGTGATGGAACCCCAGGAATGACCCTTTTTCAACAGACCTAGACCCATGGTACCCCCATGGGTCTAAGACTCCATTCCCCAGTCACGTTGGTAGGACCCTCTTCCCGCCCCTATATACAGGCCCTACCCTGCAAGCTCACCAAGACCCTGTGGCAAGTCAGGACAAGGTGGCAGGACAGGAGCTGTAGGGCCAGGCTTGGCACTGGGGACCTCAGGGAGCCCAGAACTGGGGGCAGTGGCGTTGGGCCTTGAGCAGTTGGTGCTGCTGCTGGCTGCCAAGTGGAGGGCACGGACAGAGCCACGGGCACTGAAGCGGCTGAAGAAGGCCAGGTGCTGAGCGTAGACGTCAAAGTAGAGGATGACAGCCACAAGGAAGTGCAGCAGGCAGAGAAGAAGCACAGCCTTGCAGACCCGCTCCAGCGTCCCCCCCAGCAGTCTGCTCATCCCGCAGGCGGCCGCTGGCCCGCCCGATGGGCCGGGGCATCCGGCTGCCGGCCTGAGCAAGGAAGGAGAAAAAGAGACCCCACAGGTCAGAGAAGGACAGGCAAGGCTGCCTACCAGCCACCAGCCCAGTGGTTCACACTCAAAGACCCATATCCTCATACTTGCCTGCTCACACCACTTGACATTCACAGTCACATTCTATCTGCAAACACTCAGTTGGCAACTCAAGGCTCATTTACGTTCAGACACACTTAGGCACTAAAGCACATGAACTTACACACTGCTGTCCTCCCTGATCCATATGCAAACACAAGCAGGTACACTTCCTATTGCACAACTACATATATACTTCTAAGGAATGAGGACACATCAACTCTGAACACACACGTTTATATCTAAGCATGGAAACACACTTACAGACCCTCATGGGTCTTAACTCAGGGCTCACGGCTTAGGAAGGGGGAGCGTTCACTGAGTACCTACCATGCACTGGTAGGCACATGCAGCAGCACTTTATACTCATAACTTTTCGGTCCTTCCAGGAGCCTTGCTGGGAAGTGATTCACTCATTCAGGTCCCAGTGGCAAGCAGGCCAGGCCAACTGGGACCAGGTTGGGAGTGGCCCTCAGCATCCACTGGGCCCAATGCAGACAAGATATTTACATCATCCCTTCCCACAGGAGTGAGAGGTCATGTACAGGGTGGGGCAGGAGATACCCTCACCGGAGACCTCAAAGCAGCGCTGGATCTCACCCAGCACAGCTGCTTCCAGATTCTCAGGGGGGAAAAACAACAACAACAAAAACATGTTTAGGCCCTAGAGAAAGGGTATAGTTCTCTGACTAGTAGGGAGGGGTCTTGTCTGACCTCTGGTTCCAGCTGTGGTTTTTCAGCAGAACAGCAACCACTGGGCAGTACTTCTAGGGGCACTGGTCTCACAGAGAAAAACACAGGCACCCTTGGTCCCAGTGGTAGTTACCCACACTCACACACCCCAAACTACACATAGTCACAGACACACCCCGGTCACTGAGGAACCACACACTCACCGACAAAGCTGGCTGTTCTGGTACTAATACAGCCATACAGGCAGACTCCTGGACAGCTCACACCCAGACCCACGTGCAAGCATTCCCACCCCTCCCTCTGGAGCAGGGGTTCTGGGTCACGCTGGCCACCAAGCAGAGGGGTGCGCCTGGGCGGGGCTGAGAGGCTGTCACGTGGCACCCCGGGACAGGGTGGTGGGTGTGGAGCCTGGGGGCGAGGGTGGAGTGGGGGTGTGGGGGGCGGGGGCCGAGGCACACGGGAGACGCGAACAGCGCGCCTCCCCGCGCCACGAGGCTGGGGCGAGCGAGGACAATAAGGGAAGCTGGCTGGGGGCGGGCGGAGGAACCCAGGCGGGGGAGCGGAGAAATGGGGGTGGGGTGAGATGGGGTGAAGCCAGGCCGGGGGCTGGCGGCCGGCGCCTCTCTCACCCGGTCCTGGGCTGGGATCTGGGGCCGAGCTGGGGCTGCCCCCGGGAGAGGCCGGTCTGGAATGCCGGGGCCCGGGGTGGGGGGCTGCGCGCCCTCCTCTCACCCGGCGCTCGGGGCTCAGCAGGGGACGCCGCTCCAGCTCCAGCGGGGCTCCCGGCTCCGGTGGCTGCGGACGGCTCCGTCCCCCATGGCCCGTCCCCACCGCCTCCAG